TTCAGCTTTAATTTGAATTTGCATATCAGTAATTGATGGTCTGTTCCACAGTCTGCACCTGGTCTTGTCTTCACTGATGATATGGAGCTTTTCCATTGAGAGGTGGTAAATTTCCACTTGAAAGGACAAGCAGACCAGCCAGGAGTGGCTAGAAGAACATAAGCTACTTCTTGAAAGAAAGACTGACAAGAAAAACACAAAACAATAACGGCAGACAGACTGATTACTATAAACAAACAAGTGGCTCACCCAGGAGACATCAAGGCAAGTGGTCGGGTCCCCTCAGTGCAAATCCCCTTCCAAGACTAAGACTCAATGGGAATACACACTCTGATTGGTGACCGCGCTCATCACTGATAAGGGGAAGTGAAGGAAAAACAGCAATGAAGCTGCAAGCTAAGCCCTACAACGCTCAATAGACTCCTGTGAACCTGGGTGGAGACCTGGTTGGCCAGCAGTATGGCAAAACCTGGGGACTCTTGGGCCACAGAGGACTAGAGTGGAGAGTGAAGCATCCAGCTGATAAGAAGAGAGGGCATATGCATAAGAACACCCACATGCACAGATAATATCCACTTGACCTGGCTTCAATGACTGGATGATCAGAGAAGGATGATTCTTCAATGACTAGAAGAAGAAAGAAGAGGCAAAAAAAAAAGTAATCTAATACAATTTTATGAACTTGACCAACACCTATGGATTCAGTAGCTCAAAGGAGGGAACAAATCTTTATAGAGCAAGGATCATTCCAACCTCCTCCATACACAGAGTAGACAGGGATGGGCAACTTGGACATTGGCTACCCAAAATGGGGGGTGGGGGGGCCTCCAAAGGCAAGAAGTGACTGGCTTGCAAGCTTTCGAGAGGGAACCTAGATCCAGAGGGCTTGGAGAAAGGTAGAATCTCCACTGAGTAGTATCCAATCTGTCTAGGCGGGGCTTATGAAAGGAAATGTGGATAGGTCTCTTATGATACAGTAGTGAATAATTGTTATCAGGACTGATTGTGAGAATTGGAAATGTAAAGGTAGACGTTTTGTAGCAAGGTGGGGAGTGATTAAATTTTCAGTCTAGGAGCGGAGGTCCCTGGGACCATCAAGGGAGAAGAGCGGAGAGTGGGACCCTACCCAGAGAAGCAGTGACGCCTGAGATGGAGGCAGATGTGATGACATGGAGAGATGGTGCGGCTGGGGACTTCAGACCCAGAGAAGGAGAGGAGCTGTGTGCTGGAGACCGGGGGTCAGGCTTGCACAGTATACCCTGTGGTTGGTTGATGATGCATGGAGGGGATTGTAACCATGGCAATGAAAAGATA